AGAAAGGAGAAAAGCACGGGCGCGCGTGGGCTTGGTAATTTCGCTCGAAACTGGCGAGAGTCCCTGGCCGACGAGTATCGTTCGGAAGCCATTTTCGCGTTGCTTCGTTTCGTCGTCTCTTTGGCATCGCCTTTTGGTCCGCGTCCCCCTCCTCCTCCTGCTCCTCTCTGCTTCCAACGATCCTGCCTCTCCTTACCCGCGCGCAAAAGCCTCGACCTTTTTCCCTCTTTCTTCCTCCTGTCTGTGAACGCGAGCTGGACTGCAGGTGTCTGCTGCTGCTGCCGTGACTCTCCGGTGCTCTCCTCTCGCTATCTGCCCTTTCCTCTTTCTTCCCGCGGCGTCGGAAGACTCCTCTCTCCTCTTCTCCGCATTTCGTCCTCTCTCTTTCTTCGCGTTGTTCCCCCTGCCGAGAAGCGCGCGCGAGAGATCGAAGCGAGAAAGAGGGTAGCATGCACAGGCTGGCGCAAGCGAAAGAGAAAACCGTGTGTGTGTGCCTACTACTACGCTACGTTTACGAGAGAGGCCAGACGACGACCGAGGGAGAGGGAGAGAGACGCTTCGGGCAAAAACGTAGCGCGTGCGGAGATGGTGTCGTCGTCGTCGTCGTCGTCGTCGTCGTCGTTGCTCGTGGACCGTGGCCGAGGAACGCCGAGTGGACGACGACGAGTTGGACGATCTCCCAGCAACCCTTCAGCCAAAGCGAAGCTCGTCGTTTTCCTTGGTTCCGGTTCGACGAGCAAAAACGGAAACGGCTGAGATCCGTCTCGCGTTGTTTCACCACCTTATGACCGGAACTGCGGGGGAGGGGGGGGCGACCTATCGGAAAATTCAGGCTCGATCGATGTGATAGATGCTATGCCAACTACGATGCCAACTCTCTCGTTTCAAGCATTCACATTCACGTGCAACGAGAGAAAGAAATTTAGAACGTTCGAAGCGCCTTCTTGTTTCCTTGCTGTCGCGAAAATCGAGCGAGATCGGCGGATGATTTCACGCATCGAGAAGACAGAGAACTGCAATGGGGGGATCGTTGATACTGTTTCTCTCAATGGCAGATTCAAACCCCGAAGAGATCGTGGCTGAAGAATGCAGCCTCGACTCGTCGAGCCTCTCTTCCCTTCTCCCTCTCCCTCTCTCGTCAGCGTGTGATTGTCGACCAGGAACGCGTACGCCGAAAAACCTATTCAAACCTTTCTCGTTCGCCGGGCGTGTTTCCTTTGCTGGATACGTTCCTTCGCAGGAATTAGCTTCCACGAGATCGACTCTCGCTCGTAATACAGTCGATCTCGGGAAAGTATTCTCGAGTTTGCTGCTTCGACCTCGACCGAGGAGGAGGGGAAACGTCGGTGGAAACGTGGTCCATGATGTGCCACGTCCTCGTAAAATGGTTTCTCTCGCTGGATGGCCGTTTCTCGGGATCGACGATCGCTCCAGGTGGCAGGCTCGTTGCCCGGTAGGTCGTTAAACGTCGACGTTAAATCGCGTAACAGGCGCAAAAGTCGGGTGCAAGTATATGTATTTCAGTTCACAGCTACAATTAGAACGCGTTCTGCGTCCGAGTGTCTGGCGATAGGTAGCGATGGCCCCGAGCTGGCTCCGATCTCGAACACGCGTTTCGATTCCATTCTGAGTTTCCTCTAAATTTCCTCCTCGCATCATCACCTCTCCCATCGTTTAAACATCAGTCCGACTCCAAGATTAAAAAGTAAAAATACATAATTAGATAATAGAGAAATCTCAATACTATATCGAAGAAATGCATTTCAGCGCCACGAGGGTTACAAGTCACCCCCAATAAGATAAATTCATTAAACATGACTATATACCTCAATTTATGTGTTGTAGATAATATTCAAAAAAAAAAAAAAAAAAAAAAATTCATGTTGGCGCCACGGTACCATCCACGTAAAATAAAACGTGTTAAACATAGCTTCCGAGATTTTTGAAGCCAGTTTACTTGGAAGATCGAGTATGTATTTCGTAAGCGTGGTGAACGTACCGTAACGCACATGTATAGCTTCACATATCGTTAGATATCCGGACTTTTGAACGCTTGCGTATTAAAACTTGATCCCCATCGCTATCGCGCAACTTCCTCCCCCACTCGCGACTGAACTCGCTGGTCGTTAATGCCTCGACAATGAGGCCTCGCCGAGTCCCGTAAGACATTGTTGTAAATGAAGTTTGTTATCGGGTCGATTCGAGCGCGTTCGCTCGCTCGCGGCTCCACGGAATCGAAGAATGCATTTATTAACATTTTAACTGGCGTATCGCGGATACATACGTTATTAATCGCGGATCCCCGTTAAGCATGGAAACAGAGAGAAAGAGAGAAGAGCAGACGTCGAGAGCAATTAGGCTGAACCGAGGGAAAGAGATTGTGCAAATGATTAAGATATCGAGATAGTAATAGAGCGATATGTTTTATGATGGTCGCGTCGAGGACATGCGCGTTGTGAACCTTGCGCAGGAGGGGACCAACGAGTAATTCAATTCGCGAAGGAAGCAGCGGACTCTGTGTACTCGCCGCGAGCTTGACGTACACACACACACACACACACACACACACATGGCTTCGCTTCGGTTTCCGCCGAATGGAAAACATTCTCCTCTCCCCTTCTAGTGCCTCCTCTGTCTCGCGCAAGCGTAATTAAATATGCCCGCGGTGTAATTAACCAATTATCCTGTCGTGGAATTAGCGAAATCGTAGGCTCCTCGCCTCTCTCTGCTCGCTCGTCGCGAAGGAACGCGAAGTAAACCGTTCGTTTTAGATAAAACTTATCGACGATATCGATAGATGAGTCGATCTTTTTATTCCTTATTTATTAACGCTAGAACTACCACACCAGTCAAAATGGAACTGGTTTTACAATACAATGAATTTTATTTTATTTTAATTTATTGGAAATCGAAATAATTTTGTATCACGGCTAGCTTATACGAATTGTTATATTTGTAAAATGGTCCTACAGTCTGTTTACCGAACCCGAATTAATCAGTTTCGTGCAACTTTTCACACGTAGAATTTATACTATCGTTCAACATGACGGTGATAATTATCAAGAAAATTGCCAAGAAAATTATGCTTGAACGTGTAATATGTTGCACTGAATTAGAACAGCTTCTCGAGTTTTGGGTTTGGAATTTTGTGTACACGGGGAGCAAGGAAATAAAAACCTTTGCAACTTTCATATTTATGGGGCAGAAAATGGTGGCCATACTTCTTTCCCAACACCATGAAATGATTCTACTGAATATAATATTGAGATTTATTCGCTTTGATAAATAAAAGTGACGAAGTCAACGTTTACAAAGTGGTAAATTTGCTTTGATACCAACTGTATGGGATAAGTTTATTCGAAATAGTCAGAGTTGCTACAAACCACATTGCAAATATTATAAATTGACAAACAACTCTTTCCATCTAAAGCCGCATGCAGATTTATTCGATATTTGCCGAATAAACCTGACAAATTTGTCATTAACTGTTACTACATAACACTAGGGATTTCTATTGTAAGAAAGTAATAAATCAATAAATATAAAAATATTCTGTTATTACGTTTTGTTTTTTCTTTTTTTTTTTTTTTTCTTTAAAGACCAAGTCATTTCGACTGGTTTTGGTAGAAATAGCTTCGTCTGGGCTGTCGGTAATTCTAGTGTTTCTAGTGTGAGCACACGTTTCGCTGCGTGTAGATCCATAGGCACGCAGTGGCACCCAGAGAAGAGTCTGCGTCGTTTCGCTTTTATGGCACCGAGTCTGCTTTCTAGTCGCATTAGCGGACGATAGATAGAGCTGATCTAATACGAGTAAACGCGCGGCGCGTGAATCATTTAAAACTACAGTGCACACAGTGAGTATGGAAAATGCGAGCTGCCTGTCGTTCGCTGAGCAACGAATCGACAGAGCGCAGCAGGTATCGGCGCGAGAGAGTTTTATATAGGGAATTAACATAACGTCGACTTATCGGGAAGAATGGAAAGGACGGACTGAAAAAGGAAGGAGAGAGAGAGAGAGAGAGAGA